CAAAACCAAGTAAAAAAGAAGATCAGCTTTGTGTCTAAGGTTCAAAAAGCGCCAGAGGCGCACGCCTTGAGGCGCTGGAAAAGCGCCTCAACTCCTATGCCTTTGAGCGGCGCCTTAGGCGATTTTTGAGGCGTCCGCCTCACTGGAATAGGGTTTCTAGGGGTTTTTTTATCCCAAAGGATGCGGGCCCAAAAGTTTTAAAAAGCCCAAAATACCCAAGCCCTTACTAACTAAGAAAAAACCCTAATAACAAAAGAACAAGACCAACTAGCTTGCACAGCTGTATCTCTCCTCCTTCTTCGCACCTCTCCTTCACGTGTTCCTCTACTGCATCAACCAGAACCAGCTACGAGTTAGAAGAAAACAAAGCAAGCCGACCCTTCAAGTGGGGTATCTAATCTCTTCTCTTAACTTGTTTTTTCATTTTGTAGTTGCAGTGCACCGTGAACCATTTTTTGGGTTCAATGTGTGGTTTTTCTTTTCTTTTTTATTTAAGTTAGGATGAGACCTCCACAAAATGCTAGCGGTGGTCGTAATGGGAAACGGGATCTGGCTTGAAAATATGGAAAAGAAGTTACATCGGAAAATGACAAAAGGACTTATGTTTACGTCCAATGTGTGTTTTGCAATCAAATTATTAAAGGAGGTGTTAAGAGAATGAAAGAGTACCTTGCTTGCACTCATAAGAATGTAAAGCATTGTCCTAAGGTTCCTGATGATGTGAAGAAAGAAATTAATGACTCTATGAACAAGTGGGCTGCTAAAAAACAGTCAGCGCATCAGAATTTTGAAGAAATTGTGGATGTTGGCTCTTATTTTGGTGATGGATTTGTCGACTCTTGTCAGCCGCCGTAAGTGGTTAGTGATAGAGGAGTTAAAAGGTCCCATGGACAGATTTTTGAACAATGTGGATGATAAGAAGCAAACCAAATACCTTCCCTTAGAAGAACATCAAGTGAGAAAGAGACTCGTTCTCGAGTATGTCTCGACATTGGTAGGTTCTTTTATGAAAATGCACTTGCTTTCAATATTGCTAGGAGCCCCTCCCTCCTATTTTAATGTGTAGATCAATTGGCAACTATGTTAGAGGTCTTGTACCCCCAAGAATGGATGAGCTTAGAATATGGATTTTGAAGGAGGAAGTACTTACCACTTAAAAATTTGTGGAGGAGGTTAAAATGACTTGGAAACAAACAAGAGTTTCTATTTTATCTTATGGCTGGTCGGATGCTAGAAATCGAGGTTTGATCAACTTTTTAGTCAACAATCCTCATGGAACTATTTGTTTGAGATCTGTTGATGCCTTTGATAAAAAGAAAGATGCAAATCTGTTGTTTGAGATACTTGACAAGATTGTTGAAGAAGTTGGGGAAGATCTTGTTGTTCAAGTTGTGACTGACAACACAAGTGCTTATAAGGTTGGAGTCAAACTAATGGAGAAAAGAAAACACTTATTTTGGACTCCTTGTGATGCTCATTGCATTGATTTGATCCTTGAGAAACTGGGAGAATTACCACAACATAAAAGGGCTTTGGTGAAAGCGGAAAAAATAAGCAATCATAGACGTTGTCAATGATGAGAAAGTTCACCAAAAGGGATCGTGTTCGACCTACTACAACAAGATTTGCTACTGCCTATCTGACTTTGGAGTGCATCTATAGACTTTGGAGTGCATCTATGTTTGTATCAGAGGAATGGAACAAAAGTTCATATGCAAAGAAACCGGATGGGAAAGAAGTGAAAAAGATAGTCATGAAGGATAATCAGTTTTGGGCTGTTGTTGGCTATGTTCTTAAGTCTACACAACCCATAGTGAAGGTGTTGAGATTAGTCGACTCTGAAAAGACGTCCGCCATGGGATTTATATATAGGACTATGGACAAGGAAAAAGAGGAAATTGCTAAAAACTTGGGAGGTGAAGAGAAAGACTACAAAGTGATTTGGGAGATCATTGATGGAAAGTGGGATGTTCAATTACATCAACATTTACATGCCGCAACATACTACTTGAATCCATGGATTTGATACTCCGATAATCCTTCCAACCATCCTGAGATCAAGCTTGGTTTGTACTATAGCATGAATAGGATGTTTAAATTGGCTGACAGTCAAGAATTTGTGGACAATGAGAGATTTAAATTGGTTGATGCTTCTCTTAGTAGTAACGATGATTGATGAGTTGGGAGATTAGGCTTTTAGAAGTGCATTATGAAGCTTATGATATTAGGATTTGATAAATATTTAGTCTTTTTTACGCTTCTAGTAGTGAAATATACTTCTCTTTATGTGGATGTTTTGTTAAATTTCTTGTTTTTAATGATTATTAAGTATGAATTTAGTTTTTGTTACTATTATTTAAAAAAAAATAGGCATTTTTTGAGGTTTACGCATCAAAGCGCCTTGAGACTCGATTAGGCCTTTTAAAACCTTATTCATGTCTATTTAAGGAAGAAACATTTTCAAGAAAAAGAAGTCTGACTTGAGAAAAAACCGAACTCGTTCAGATCATTAGGTAAATTTCCTTTTGAGTCTGATATCCCCAGGTCTAATTGGTCACTTGAAATTCCTATTGCTCATAGAAAAGGTGTTCGTACATGTACCAAACATCCTCTCTCCAAATTTGTGTCTTATGAAAAGTTGTCATCACCGTTTCATGCTTTTATCTCACAGCTTTCTAGTATAGAAATTCCTAGGAATGTGCAAGATGCTCTAAATGTTGCAGAGTGGAGAGAAGCTATCTTTTAAGAGATGAAGGCTCTTGACAAGAATGAGACTTGGGATGTGGTGGATCTACCAGAAGGAAAGAAAAAAAAAACTTTGGGATATAAATGTGTATTCACTATTAAGTATAATTCAGATGGGAGCCTAGAGAGATATAAAGCACGGTTGGTAGCAAAGGGGTTTACTCAAACCTATGGTGTGGACTACTCAAAACATTTGCACCTGTGGCCAAACTCAACACAAAGAGAGTACTTCTTTTGATTGCTGCAAACTTGGACTAGCCCCTACAACAATTAGATGTCAAAAACGCATTTCTAAATGGAGACCTTGAAGAGGAAGTGTACATGGACGCTCCACCAGGCTTTGAGAAAATATATGGTTCGACGGTCTGCAAACTAAAAAAATCCTTATATGGTCTCAAACAATCACCCAAAACTTGGTTTGAGAAGTTTACTCAGTTAGTAAAGAAGCAAGGATACACTCAAGGCGAATCAGATCATACTTTATTTGTGAAGTTCTCATCAACAGGCAAAGTTGCAATTTTGCTTGTCTATGTAGACGACATCATACTCATCGGAGACGACATTGCGGAAATGGAGAGAATGAAGAAAGGCTTAACTACAAAATGCAAGATTACGTATTGGGGTCACTATGGTATTTTCTTGGAATGGAGGTTTCCTAGTCAAAGAAAGGAATTATGGTTTCCCAGAGAAAGTATATACTTGATCTCTTGAAAGATACAGGTATGAGTCGCTGTAGACCATCTGAAACACCAATGGAGCTAAATCTAAAGCTTAGAAATAGTGACAGGAAAGATCCAGTTGACACAACTAGATAACAGAAGTTAGTTGGGAAGCTAATCTATTTATCCCACACTTGACCAGACATAGGCTATGCAGTTAGTGTGGTAAGTCAATTTGTGCACTCGACATATGAGGAGCACATGGAAGTTGTATGCATCTAAGATATCTAAAGAGCACTCTTGGGAAAGGCTTGTTTTTCGAAAAGAATGAGCAACAGAGAGTTGAAGTTTATAGAGATGCCTGATTGGGTCGGATCCATCACCGACAGGAGATCCACCACTGGCTACTACACATTTGTTTAAGGAAATCTGGTTACTTGGAGAAGCAAAAAACAAAACATGGTGGCAAGGAGTAACGCGGAGGCAGAGTTTCGAGTAATGTCACATGGAATCTGCAAGATACTATGGCCAAGACGAGTTCTAGAAGAGTTTTGAAGACCAATTGAAGGACCAATGAAGTTATACTACGACAACAAGGCCGCAATTAGTATTGCAAATAATCCGGTACAACATGATAGAACGAAGCACATGGAGATAAACAGACACTTCATAAAACAAAAGTTAGAAGGAGGCGAGATTTGCATGTCGTTTGTCCCTACAACACAACAAATTGCTGGCATCCTAACTAAAGGGCTCCTAAGACAGAATTACGTGTTTTTGATAAGCAAGTTAGGCATGACAAATATCAATGCGCCAACTTGAGAGGGAGTGTCGAAAGTTAGAAATTAGTTAGGAACTTAGGATTCTGTTTCAAATAGGATTCTGTTTTGTTTAAAATTAAATAGGATTCTTTTTTCTCAAACTCAAATAATAAAATCTAAATATAGGATTCCTATTAGATATTCAGATATGGTAGGTTAGATATCATTAGATTTTCAAATCTGAGAGTTGAGATATTTGTGGCAGAATCTCTTCTCCCACTGCTCTATTTATTTGTATTCGTTCCGAAGTTATATTTCAATAAAAAAGAGAAGAAACATTTTCTTCCTTTCACGATTATAGGTTCTATCCTTTTAATATAGTGAAATTAACCAGGTGTTGTAATCTTTCAAGGAGAAAACATCAACATTTAGTTAGGTTGAAAGATGTGACAAATCATGTTTAAACAAGATTTGGCACTCAAGAACACGCGCTGATTATTGTCATAGCTCACAAAAATGAATCATCTAACTACATATTTTCATCACAGTAACACTCCAATTTGTTGGTTAATTATCCTTATAAGTAAATCAGAATTGACCTCTCCTAGCACAAAATAGAAAACAAATTATCCACATAAAAGCAAGCATACAAGTTTTAACAGCAAATTAGAATCTGTTAAAAAATTTTAATTTTCTCAAATGAATAAGAATTTGTAAAATCATTAATCACAAAGGATGCTGCCAATAAGCAATAACCACAACCTACTAGTAGTTTGGTGCATTTACGATACAAGAATTTCTAGAAGACTTGGATACGGAGTTCACTATAAATTACCTCAGATATATGTTCCGGATATTTCATGGTCCACAGAATTGTTTTTTCAATTGGGTTCGAAGTTATGCGGTATTTAAGCCCCTTTTCTGAAAACCTTGTTAACAGATTTCCTAAAATATATGGTAAAACAACTTCTCACCAAATGAAGGGATATGAACATAAAGACATGCTAAAATGCAGAATGAACATCTGAAGAAGAAAACTGAAGATTGGAAAAGACCCCACCTCCAACTGACCCTATTTCAATTACTTTTGCATCAATCTCTGCCACTATGGATTGTATAGCGAACTTCCCATTTTCCCACTTTTTCTTTTCTTTCTCTATTTTTTTCAATTCCGCAACTTCAGCTTTGAGAGCTTCTTTTTGAAGCTTTTCTTGCTGCATCATGGATATCAATAAGCTATTATTCATTAATAAGACACGCACCATAACAGTCAAACTATCAGGAAGAACTTACAAGCTTCCTTAATTTTTTCTCTTCTTTTAACCGAAAGCTTTCCTCCTCTGTCATCTTCTTTCTTCTTGTTGCTTCAGTTGTACTATTTTTCTTCTCAGTACTAGCATTTGTTGTTTTCTTTTGCGAAATTTCCTGCGTTCGATCCACGCCAATATTTTCTTTTCCAAGACTCTCACTTGCCTGAAAATCGTCATCACACTGATTAGAACATGAAATATACACTTGATCATTGTGTAAAAACGTAAAATATAAAGAAATGCATAGTCTATGATGGCTTCTAAAGATTCCAAGTATATTAAACACACATAAAAGGATAACATAAATCCTAGAAGGAAATTATAATTTTGATTATCAAAAGTAAGAAGGAGATGATTATTAACCACTTATATGCATACTAGATCCCCTCATTCTCTTTTTATATGCATACTAGATCCCCCCACTCTCTTTGCACACCGAAAGTCCAAACTTTAGCAACCAATTATGGGTTCCTACTTCCTCCATATGACTAGCAACCAGTAACTTCCAACTCCCTAAGGCATCTTTGCTTAGAGGGTTACCACAAAATACAGTATAGCTTTACTTCACCAGCAAGAATAAATAAGAATAAGTCATACTTATTAGCCCCTAATTTGCAAAAGAAAAAATATTTTGAAACAGGTAAAATATATAGACTAGAACAGCAGCAAAAAAGAAAAAGAAGATCATTACATGATGCATCAAGATAAAGTACCTGAGGAATACCATCCTGCAAACAGGTCGGACCCAAGAAACTGTCTTCAGACATATGTGTTGCATTAACATGACCTAAAACACATGTTACATATGTTTCAATTAGTACAACAGGGCAAAAAAAAAAAAAGATTCAACATGGTAGAGACAATCACTTTAGCATTTTCTTTCCTTCTTTATTTTTTTTTTTCAAATAAGAAAAGTTGCGTTTATCAATAGAATGTTCAATTACAATTTCTTTAGCATTTTCAACAAGCTGTACCCGAGAAATTAAAGAATCCATTGTCTAGATACAGATGCAACATGAACGTACCAAAAGTAGATGTCGACTCGACACATTTAGTACTCCAGTCTAAGACATTCATCACATCAAAATCAGAATCCATAGTTTCATTGTCCACCGGATTTCCTCTTTCTGATCCACCTTCAGACTCATTATCAGACTCCAAACATATGAATCGATTGATGCCTGAATCTAAAAGCACCAAGGCCAATGCAATCTGATTAGAGCTAAGATTCAGATCAATTACCAACATGTCTTGTAAAAAATACATGGAACTGTAAAGCATATTTCACAAAATAGAAATAAAAAGCTAATGCTAAAATTATGATCACGGTCCCACAATCATAAGAGACCCACAACTGAAAACCTAAGCTAGTGCCTGAATCTAGAAACAACAGGAGAAAAACTTCTAATAACAGCAATCCGAATTAATGCCTGAATCTGAATCTGAAAGACAGCAAAAACATGCAATCCAAATTAATACTAAGATACAAAAACAACAAAATTCCTTACTTTAAAAAATAAACCACACATTGAGCAGAAAAAGGAAAAACGAAAAATATTGTTTAGACTCACATTTCAAAAAGGAGTCAATTTCCAGAAGCAAATTAACACGAAACAACGCAATTGAAATACATCAACAATCCGTAACAGAGACATTCACACAAACATAGAAACGCATATGAAATTGATTGGAAAAACTGACCCGAGAACTTGTGGTCAGAATTGAATTTCGTCGAGCACTTGACGATGACGAGGTCGGACATCGGCGTCTCGGGGACGAACGTCGGGATGGAGGTGGGGACCGGCTTCCTCGGGGTGGGGTCGCCGTCGAGGAGAACCACCATAGGGATGGGGTTAGGATTAGGGTTAGGGTTCGGTTCCGGCGAGGTGCGACGTTTCTTGGATTGAAACGGCGTTTCTTCCTCGTCGGAGAGGAGGATTGGATCGGACATTGTGCGGAGAGGAGAGAAGAGGAGAGGGAAAATACAAATTTTGATTTTGGTTTGAAAATGAGCGGCTAGATGAAGAAATATGAATGTTGTCGTCTAGTGGTTGCAGAGAAATGAGAAAAAATGGGTTTACGAATATGAATGTTATCGTGGTTTAGTAAATTACTTTATGGTCTCGTTCATTTTGCTGATTTGAGTTTAGAATTCGAGTTTTATTACAATAAAAAATTCTTATAAACAGTCACATATAATCTTTTTACTACAGTAAAAAGCTTTCACATAAAATCACATCTCAACTCAAATTAAAAACTCGAATCAGCGAACTGAACAGGAATTTTTAATTTTGATAAATTACCTCTTAAATTTGTAAATTTATTATAATTTGTCCTATTTAACTAAATTTGTTCAAATTTTTTATTAAATTTAAGATATTAAAAGTTTAGATATTGAAATATTTGTGTTACATTTTAATTGGAATGTTAAAATTTTTTACCGAACCTGCTTTTTTGACACTAATTTAATCAATTGTCATCAAAATGGACAAATTGTAATAAATTTACAAGTTCAAATGGCAACTTATCAAAATTAAAAGTTTAAGGGACAATTGTTAAATCACGACAAGTTCGGGGGGTAATTGTGCCAAAAACCCTAAAATTTTTAGTCGTTAGGTCCTTCATTCCGCGATTTTAGTTTTCTCTCAACCTTAGTTGTTTTTTTTTCTTTTTGAGATTTATAGCATATCATGAAAAAAAAAATAAACTGCCAGTATTTTTTTATTTTTAACCATCAAATATTAATTAAAAACTATTTTTTTTAAATCAAAAACTATCTATTATATACATTTTTTTGGCTCTAAATACTTACTAAATAACTGCTAGTATTCGGGGGGTAATTGTGCCAAAAACTCTAAATTTTTTAGTCGTTAGATCCCTCATTCGCTTCCTTCACGTGATTTTAGTTTTCTCTCAACCTTAGTTGTTTTTTTTTTTCTTTTTGAGATTTATAGCATGTCATGAAAAAAATAAACTGCTAGTATTTTTTATTTTTAACCATTAAATATTAATTAAAAACTATTTTTAAAAAAAAATTAAAAACTATCTATTATATACATTTTTTTGGCTCTAAATACTCACTAAAGAACTATAATTTTTGTTTCTCTTCTTTTACTAACTAAAAAAATTAAAGTGAAAATTCCGTCAAACGAATCCATTCATTAATAAAAAAGCCAACCAACCACTCACAACAAGAAAGCACCCAAACAAACAAAACAAGTGAAAATCACAACTTAAACTTTTTTATGTGAGAGGAAATATTGTAGGAAAAAATTAAATTTAAATTTTTTTAAAAAATATATCGTAATAAAAAAATTTACGTTGTAATTTGAGTTGTAAGGGACCAAAAAAGGCTCCCCACTCACAATAAAATGAGAAAAGTCCAGCGACTTAGGGCTTGTTATTTTGAGTGAAAAACTCAAAAAAATACAACTCGAGTTATAATTTTATACGAGTTTATGTTCTTTTAAGTTTAAACTCGAGTTCAAACTCGAGTTTAGGACTAAGACTCAATTTCAAGTTTCCCCTTCAACTCGAGTTCAGAAACTCGAACTCAAATTAATAAACAGTATTTTTTTAATTCTTAAAAATGCTATAATTTTTTCGTTTTAATTCTGATTGAGATGATTTTTTTTCTATGCGTTGACAACGAAAATACGAATAAACCCCGACCCGTATATCATATTAAAACTTTTCATCAGCATTGAGTTTTTATTAAAATACTATATAAATACAAATTCAAGTTTTGATTCACTCAAACATAAACTCAAAAAGATTTTTATCTCAAACCATAACTCAAGTATACACAACCAAACACAAACTCAAGTTACAAGTTCAACTCAAGTTATAACTCAAATTCAACTCAAGAATTATATTAAAGTTAAACTCCAAAAGAACAAGCTCTTAACTTATGTACTATGATATTGCCATTCCTCCTAGTCCAGAAGAACAAAGCATGATTGCAAATCCTGCACTAACATAAGAACTTCTTCTAGTCTTTTATGCTATGTTTGGTATGAGATAAAGGAGGAAGAAAGAAAACGGGTGGAGATATTATTATGTGGAAAATGATAAATTAAGTTATTTGGTAAGAAGGAAGAGAAAATGAAAAGAAAAATAGGGTGGATAAAATTTATTGTGGGGCTTATAAGTTTTTATCTTTCCAACATTAGGTGGAAAATAGAAAACTTAAAATTCACCCATTGACCACTAAAACAACTTTTTACCCTCATTTTAAAACTAAAATAATATTAAATAATTGATAAAATAGTTACTTGCTACATATTTTTTTTCTTCCATCATACTAAATAATATAAAGAAAAATCAACTTTTTTCTTTTTTTTCTAATTTTTTTATTATTTTCTTTCTATTCTCTTTTCTTTCTCACTTACCAAACCGAGTTTTACTTCATTGGCAATTTATCCCTTAAAATAATATTTGGAACTCAAACTTTCAAATTTGGTAAATGAAATTCCAAAACTAATTTGTTGTATTGTAGTTCAATAGTTAAGGAAGTCTATTAGTAAAATAAATATCCACAAATATTTTTGTACAAATACATGCGAAACCTTTTGTTGGTTGACAAATTAGACTTTTAGATTATTAATTTTCATATTTCATACTCTGATTTATGCCCATTAATTCAATTGCATTGCTAATTACTATCCAATTTAAGATCACAAATACTAAATTAAAATAGTAAATTGCACAGTTACACCTTAAGCTATCCGTTTTTTACATAATCGATCTCGAACTTTTAATTTTAGTAAACTACACCATAAATTTTAAAATCAATAATAATTGAAGTCCAATAGCTAATGGCGTTATAAAATTAATAGTTCTGGACATGAGATTTGCATGTGATATAATTTGAAAAATGACAATTCTTATCTTTCACGTGCATATCTCGTATATTAAACCATCAATTTAATAAAAAAAATAAAAACATGTCATGCTATACACCAACTAGGCAACCATGCAACTAACCACCACTATCACTATGGTGAGAGCCATGCTTTGAAAGAGTGGGGCACGTGATGGACCATGGGCTACCATGCCCTAGGTCACGTGACCAAACAGAGCAATCTTATTTGCACCACTTTATGTCCAATTGATGTTGGGTTTGAGGTTAGGGGATTTAATTTATACACATATGGACATGAGAAGCTTCCCTTTCATGTTGGGTGTGGATGGACGTGGCTCATGTGGCCCATGTCTCTCTCTCCAACCGGAGGCCGGTCGGGCGTGGTCTTTATACATGAGAAAAAGAAATCAACCTTATTGTTTTCTCATATGGATTCCCTTTGTCATTTCATGTGTTTGTCTCACTTTGACATTGCCAAGTTACCAAACCATGTGATTTAAAGTGGCAAAACTAATTATTTGGGCAAATCTTCAACATTGGAATGGTTCTCTATAGAGTTTCATACATGGCAGTTTTGGGTTGCGCCAAGGGGAAAACATTGAGAATTAAATTAATATATTTAAAATGACATTTTTGACATTTCTAATAGACACATGCGCACACACGCATCCAACCACTTGATTTGAGTTAGGAGACGTTTGGTAAGAGGATTCATATCATGATTTGAATCATGGTTTATGGTTCGTTATAGTATTTTCTCTCATAAAAAATACACGTAAATAAAAAATGATTCTAATTTCATGATTATAATCCATGAACTAAACGTCTCCTTAGACTTTAATGGAATTTTATTTGTAAGTTTAAATTAATAATATACTGTGCTTTTATTGCAATTTTTTTAGTTCTAGTGTTTTACCTGAAGACCTGAATTAGCATAATATAATTTTTTTTTTTTAAAAAAAAACAGGGTTTGTCCTTTTAGGACCGTTTTTGAAAACGATTCATAAGAAGGTTCCAAAAGGGCCATCATAATCAGTTGTTAATTTTTTGTCTAGTTAATTGTATCTTTCTTTCTTTTAGTTTATTTATCTTCTCGTTTTTTTTTTTTTTTAAATTTCGTATTAGAAATATAGAACTTTGCGTTTTGGAAGCTTTTGCTTTCCGTATCAAGAGATGGGCATATATATATACACCCTTGTGAACATCTCCACCTTTTAAATTGTTAAAGAAAAATATTTAGGGTGCGTTTGATTACAGTAATAAAATGATAATGAAAATGAGAATGGTAATGGAAATGAAATGAAAAAGAAAGTTAATTCATTTATTTAGTTGTAATTTTAAAAATTTTCTAGAATGGAACATGAATATTTCATGTTAGACAAACTTACCCTTATACTATATATAACACTAATATTTTATCTATCAATATAATATATAATAAAAAATATTATAATATAATTAAAAATTACAACTATATTATATTATACTATAATATAATATATAATAAAAAATATTATAATATAATTAAAAATTACAACTATATTATATTATACTATAATATAATATATAATAAAAAATATTATAATATAATTAAAAATTACAACTATATTATATTATACTATAATATAATATATAATAAAAAATATTATAATATAATTAAAAATTACAACTATATTATATTATACTATAATATAATATATAATAAAAAATATTATAATATAATTAAAAATTACAACTATATTATATTATACTATAATATAATATATAATAAAAAATATTATAATATAATTAAAAATTACAACTATATTATATTATACTATAATATAATATATAATAAAAAATATTATAATATAATTAAAAATTACAACTATATTATATTATACTATAATATAATATATAATAAAAAATATTATAATATAATTAAAAATTACAACTATATTATATTATACTATAATATAATATATAATAAAAAATATTATAATATAATTAAAAATTACAACTATATTATATTATACTATAATATAATATATAATAAAAAATATTATAATATAATTAAAAATTACAACTATATTATATTATACTATAATATAATATATAATAAAAAATATTATAATATAATTAAAAATTACAACTATATTATATTATACTATAATATAATATATAATAAAAAATA